ACACAAACTACACCTCTATTGGTGCTATTTCCAAGCACATTGTGCGCTGTCGGTCCTGCGTGCTGCACAACAACATTCAATATTTAGTATTTACTGCTGTTTACACTTAGCTAGATTAACGTGATGGTGTTGTGTTTAGTATGTTGCTCTGTTTTCTTTGCTTGTTTTCTCTTCTTTCTCTTTTTAAGTTTCCTTTCTCACTGTCCCTCTCCCCTTCTGTTTTTCTTTTCCTTCCTCTTTCTCTCTCCCTTTCCTATTCCTCACTCATGTCTGTCCCGTCTGTAACAACTGAAAATAAAATAAATAATAACAACGAAGGTCGATCAAATGGACCAATACGGCAAGGCCGTGATGATCCATTTGGCAAAGTAAATCCATCGGGTCTCCTTGTTGGTCTTCAGACAACAATTCTGACGGCTAAAGAACCAAATGGGACAACAAAAAAAAAATTAAAAATAGCAAAAGTAGCCAAAGTCTTTATTTTTTACTATTAGCATGTTTTTACTGTATTTATGTTGCTACTGTACATCTACTACAACATAGCAGTTTTAAAACTTCTTTCATAACAAACTAAAAGATCAGTTTAACTATTTTCTTTTCATCTTTAAAATATGGCTTCTTTTAAAAATTACAGCACCCGCCACAGTCACCAACCTGCAGGTGCATCTTCAGGATCAAAATACGATCAAAGTGAGCTGGCACAGACCCTCTACGTTCAACGGACCTGAGGAAAAATATATAATACGTCTAAATACAGCTGATGATAAGGAAGTGACAAAGAGGGAGAAGCAGAGTTGTACACGATGTGAAGTCGAATTCAAAGATCTGAGCTACACTACGAGCTACAAAGTGAAGGTTTGTGTGATTCTGCCTTTACAGTTAATTTCTATTTCAGTGAGTAACACAGTTTGTCATAAATAGATGTACTTTTATTTTTCAGGTGAGCGCTTCCAATGGACAGTATGAGAGCAGCCCTGTGATAGTACATATTGATACATTACGTACGTTATTTCAGTAACGTTATTTGCAGCAGACACGATTGCTGTTCTTACTCTATGTTCAACATAAATGTCAAAACTTTGATGTCTATTAATCTTCTATTATTTCCTTTCACTTTACAGACAACAATCCTGTCATCACTGCTGTCCGAGTCTTCCTCACCATCACACCGTTGGTCCTGATGTGGGTAGTTTACAAGATCAAAGTCCAGAATCTAAAGCAAAGCTTAACAAACCAGAATCACGAGGGAAGAAGGAGACCTGATGGAGCCGCTCCACAATCATGAAGCTGATCCAAATGTAGCATCACCTTTTTACTCTGGCATATAAAACTCTGTGGTATCTATTTTTGATGTTGCTGCAGTTTATTATTTTTACATGTGATGCTTGCATGAGAATATTTGACTGTGTTAGAAACTGTTCATATTAGTTTTAAATGACCAAATAAATCATAATTAATAGAATCGTAATAATCATGAGATCGTTGCACATTATTTAACGTTCCTCAAAGTAACTTGAAGTCCTTCAAAATCAGCACTTACTGCAACGACATTTCCTTTGAGTTAGAAACGGGTTTAGGCACAGTCTTATTATTGCTGCGTGTAGCATCGTACAAACTGAGACCGTTGTGTAAAACAGAAACAGAACAATGATTAACAAAGCTCAGAAAGCCAGATTTGAAAACAAACATATCAAACGTTTGATCCGAGATATTTTAATATTTAATGAAAAATGTTGAATTTGATGACAGAAACAACGTCTGACAGGTTCAACAAAGTGCTGCAAAAGTAAAAATGAAATCAATTGAGGAGCACTTTATGAATAATTGGGCTAACTTGGAAAATGTCTCCAGCAAATGAAGGATAAAGTTTCACCGCTGTGCAAAAAACTGCATCAGTTTCCAAATAATGTTTCTCAGCATAAAACTGGGAAGAACCTCTCAGCATCTACAAAAGTACAAAATATCCACAAAAGATTCATTAAATGTGGAGAAATCTCTGTGTGCAGGAGACAGGTCTGACAGTCAGTGCTGCATGCTGTGACCTTTGGGTCCTCGGGGGGCACTGCATTAAAAACAGGCACGATTCTGTCACTGAAGTCACTGCACGGGCTCAGGAGTCAATATCTGAACACAGCTGTCCACAAAAGCAGGTTAAAGCTGTGTCATGCAAAGAACTTGATGCTGTCTATTTGGGACAAAGCTCCTTTAAAATCAGCCGAGGCAACGTGGAAAACTGTTCTGAGGTCAGACACACTCACATTTCATTCTTTTTGGAAAACATGGACGCCAAGTCCTCTGGATTAAAAAGGAAAGGGTTTAAAGTTAAATGTGTTTCCAAATAAATTTGAAAAGATTAAATGAATACAGAATTATGCAGTAGGTAGATGGTTGCCCCATGATCGGAAGGTCGGGGGTTCAAATCCACTGAACGGCTACCCTCAGGTACCCCTGAGCAAGGTACCGTCCCTACACACTGCTCCCAGGCGCTGGCTGCCCACTGCTTCACTGAGTCAATGGGTTAAATACAGAGAGAGTAATTTCACCACAGGGAACAATAAAGTAAACATTATTATTATTATTATTATTATTATTATTATTATTATTATTATTATTAAACTCGCCTTTGCTACTAATTTCATATTAAAAACAGTAATTCTAGTATAGGTGTAAATATGACACAAATTCTTCTACATGTTGAAAATGTGACGTAAATGCAGCTGAATGCACGGTGAGTATAAACACACTGACTAACAGAAAGATCAGAAGTAAGCTGTGTGGTTTGAACAGATTTCCTGTTCCTGCAGGAGCAGAGTGGAAATGAAGGCCGTCTCCAAAGCCTGTGAAGATTAGTAGCTCTGCTGCAGTCAATACAAGAATGAATAAAAAACAACCTCATGTAAGCGTTCACCTGTTGGATTGTCTGGACTCTGTGGTGATCCTCTTGTGTCTCTACAACAGAGTGAATTTGGCCGCTTGAATCTGCTGTCTCACATTAAGCAGGCTGATATGTACATACATACATTTCTTGGTAGATTCACTTTAACCAGATGCACTCTCAAACAAAACATATCTGCAGAAACTTGGTGGTTTCAGTGGTTGATGTTCGAGCTGCTCACAGTGAACAGTCTATCAGAGCATCACAGTGTCACAGATCGGCTGATATGGGAGCGCACGCATTCACATGTACACAGTACAAGGTTCCCAGTTTGAATTGAGAAGCAGACAGCCTCTCTGCTTTTAAGATTAGGCTTTAAACTTTGCTTTTTCATAAAGCTTATAGTTAGAGCTGGGTCAGGTCACCCTTCCTCATTTACATATGTAAAATATAATCTACAGAAACTCTTTAGACAGCAGTTTGCCTTTACAGGCGATAGAAACCATGTCATGAAGCCCTCAGCACATATTAATGTCAGAGAGGTTGGAACTTTAATACAGCAACACTGTTATAACAAGTCAGTTTGGGAAATTTCTTCCCACCTAGATATTCCACAACCAACTGTAAGTGGTATCATTGCAAAGTGCAACTATTTAGGAACCACAGAGACTGAGTCATAATGTAGACATTATACTATAAAACAAAGGCAGCGAGGAGACCAAAAAACAGAAATATCATCATCCAAGAGATCATTCTAATGTCTGTCAGTCAGGAGATTAAATGTTTCAGGCTGAACAATAACGGACTTGAAAATAATGTGCTGAACGTGCCCACACTGCCTACTCTGTCCTTCCTGTTTCTGGCTCTGTGTGTCAGAGGTGTCCTCAGAGGAAGCACACCTGTCGGCAGGAGGCTAACTGTTCCCAAACAGGAAAAATGCCTTTGACATTTAATTCTGTATTTTAGCAAATCTCACTGTAAACCACAGCAACATCTACTGAACTGTTTGTTTTGTTTGTTTTTAGTCCTAGAAAATCCTAGAAAACACAAATTATTGTGCGCTGTGAAGAGTCATCCCTTTATACCAGACGGGCGATTTATGCATCCTAATCTCTGTAAGTCAAAATTTGGTACAGACACTTATTTGGCCCAGGCATGAACAGTAGTAAGGGTTGGCAGGTCTGTTAAAACAGTGTTTAAACCCATTAGAAAACAGCTAATGTCTCTTATATGTTTACCTCAGTCCATTGTTAATTACCCAGAGTCTGTGATGTCAGGAAATATGAGACAGTAGAACAAAAGTGAACACATCTGGCAGCTCGTTGTGATCGTTTAAAGCTACAAATTACCACCAAAGGAGAAAACATCTGCAAATTTAAAAGCTCAAACATAGATTAGACCAGGGGTGGGCAACCGTTTGTTTTTGTTCCACAAAGCTATATTTCTCATCCATTTATTCGCTTCCGCTTCTCCTTTTCAGGCTCGCGGGGAAGCCTGTCCCAGCTGTCACAGGGCAAAACATTTAGATTTATTAATCTGTCCCCACAAACTGCATGCGTTTGGACTGTGGGAGGAAGCCAGAGCAGTTCTCAAACACAGGGAGAACATGCAAACTCCGGCCTGATGGTGGAATTGAACTCAGGACCTTCTTGCTGTGAGGCAACAGTGCTAACCACTGCACAGCTATATTTCTTTAAACCTATATACCAGATCCACAGTGACTGTTCCCTGGGACGCACAACATCCTGAAACATGTTTTAGTTGGAAGCATTACTGTCATGGCCTCACTTTAAAGTCACGTTAGGTAAGAGCTGGCACAGCTCACCCCACTCTCCCCTACTGTACATATTGTTATGAAATAAGTACAAAATGTGCAGTGGCCTTTGAATGCGTCACATTGTTTATAACTAAGTAACTGTTGTGCTGCTACTTAGTGTTTTGCTGTCATTTCTCCATACAGACCGCAGCCATGCACAAGTCATCGGGATCCTTGGCAGCAGCATCACCCTTCAATTTACTTTCAATGTTAGCATCAATGAAAACAGTCACATTGGAATTTATACAGCAGGCGAGAAAAAGATTGATGACTTTAAAAGTGGGAAAAGTTCCTTTGATATTTACACAATTCTGTATTTTACCACATCACAAATCTCACTCGAAGCCACAGTAACGCCTACTGGGCCAGTTTATTTGGTGCAGCTACTCATTGAAGAGAGGAACACACACAGTACAGGTAAGGACATTTGTCATCATTATAAACTACACACAATGGAAATGACACCGACTGTGCTATATGAAGTGAAAACATGCACAGTTACAGTTTCAGTGATGAAATATCTCAGGACAATAACTGACCTCGTTTCTATCAGTGAGTTAAAACTGCAGGATTGTTCATCGCGGTTTAAAGCGAGCCTGGATGATCCAGAATAACATGAGAACTTAGATTTGATGGGCAGATTAATCCAGGTTAATGTTGAATGTGTGCTGTAGCCTGGGGTTACTTCAGCAGCAGCATGGAGATACTTGCTCAGTGATAACAACATTTTGTCGTGCCATAGTCCACTTTCACCTTCAGTGTTTTTCTTCTCATCCGTGCGATGCATTCATGGGATTCATGTAGCTGACCCACAGAGGAGGGAGCGTAAGCAGAGTAACCTGTCGGTGTTCATGGTTAATGTTATATCACATAAAAGAAAGGAGACATCGGCTGAAAGTCAAAGGTGATGATGCTGATTAGATTTGCTCACAGGTTTCTTGCTTTAAAGTGTGGAGGGGTCGGAAATCAGCCGTAGATCTCATCACACATCTGCTTATATCTTCTTAAATCCAGTCGTCTAAACCCACAAAGAGCAGCACATAGTGCATAATAACAGACTGTACAACTATTATCTGACGTTTCCCCACAGCGCACATGTTTAAACTACCCAGTATCCTTAAACAGCCTCTGAATAACTAAAATATAATATTTCTGATGTGTGGAACTGCGATCAGATTTATGTAGCTTAGCTATTAATCGAGTGCTGATTAATAAGTAGCGCTCGAACAGTGTTTAAATCCACAAGTACTCACAGACCATATATGAAGATTTTGGCCAATGAAAATAGTCTTTCTCTACGTGGGCTAAGCCTCTGTTTTCAGAAAGTCTACTAGTCTAGTTATACAGAAGTCTGTAGGAAAACAGCGCTCAGCTCCACTGATCTGTGACCTCAGAAAACATCAGGAGTGTCCACCCCCAGGCCTCGAGGGCCGGTGTCCTGCAGGTTTTACATGTGTCCTTGATCCAACACAGCTGATTTAAATGGCTAAATGACCTCGTCAACATGTGACCCAGGGTGAGATCTAAAACCTGCAGGACACCGGCCCTCGAGGCCTGGAGGTGGACACCCCTGCTGTAGACACTCACGGTTGTACGTCTCTCCTGACATCTGTAGTTACTATAATTATTAACCTGTAGCCACTGATTTTTCAGTCCAGGTATTGTGTGATGTGGCGTACCTGAGCGTTTTCTCCCACCTTTTCCTTTCCTTGTGAACGGCGTCTTGAAGCCACCTTTCCACTGAGACCAGCTGAGGTTCCAGTAAATAGTAGAAAGGCCAACTGAAGGGTCAGATGTGTCTTTCAGTCACATTTTGAACTCTGCCGAGTTTTAAGCCATTTACTTTTTCGCCTTGTTGCTCCAATTTCATGCTGTCGAATTGTGCAATCATTGACATTTTTCATAGATTCAACAAAATAAAATGGAACAATTATTTGTTTTTACTCACTAAACTACCTACAGATACAGTTTAAAATTGGCTCCTTGCTAAGTCGTCTGTTAGATTGAATCACAAAACTGGTTATTACTTTGATTTAAGTGCCTTTTTTATGCTTGATTGACTCATATACAGTGTTCAGTGTTTCAACAAACAAGTAAAAAAAACAAAACAAACCCCACACTTTGTATAACTGAGGCTTTCCATATCCTCACCGTACTCTACAGGAGCCTGTATTTAACGCATGGTCTTTGCCTTTGAATTTGAACCTCCTAGGACCTGGTGCCCACATATGTGGACATCATATTTTGGGTTGTCCAGACAAAAATACTAAACTTTAAATTTAAAACCTTCATATGTGGATTTTATTTACCAAAAATCTGGTAATTCTTTGTTTTTACATTCATCAGGTCCAAGTCAGCCCAAATAGCAAAGAGAAATTTAAAAAGCAGAGGTGTGGACTCGAGTCATTAATTTTATGACTTTAGACTTGACTTGAAAAAATGTTCTAAGACTGTGACTTGACTTTTACACCAATGACCTGGGACTTGAACCTGTTTACTTGAAAAGACTTGATATTTCACCCCAAATCTAAAATTTAACACACATAAAAGTGTGCACCATTAATTCAATTCATTCTTTCCAACCACACTCCGTACGTATGTGTGCGTGAGCTGTAGCACAGCCAATCAGACCTGAGACTTGAGACTTACTTGAGACTTACTTGAGACTTGCAAAACAATGACTTGGTCCCACCTCTGTTAAAAAGCCATGAAAGAGTTCAGGTCCTAGGAGGTTGAATCAGGAGGGTCTGATTACTCAGCCTTGATCGTGACTCTGTAGTTGTAGAGTAGAGTAAATATAGGTGCACATCCTGATTCTTTTCGTGCTTTTGCTGCATATTAACATATTTAGATTTTGTTTTGCCGTCTCATCTGATCTGAATGTGTCCTGCAGCCACTGAAACACCCGCTGAGCCTCCACAGTGAGAGTAGCATTTAAAAACACACTAATCTTGTTGCCAGAGGCTGATGTCATTAGTCTGATCTGTGTAAATTCATTCAATAGTTCTGATGGATGTGAGAGGAAACACATTTTTCTTTGTAACACCAGCTGACTCTCTCTCTATAAACCATATTAATAATCCTACTTGTCAGAAGCATTTCCTGTTCTTTTCATAATACCATATCAAATGTATATACGTCTTATTCTACATGTTGAGTGTCACCACTTGGATAGTCTTCTGTTATACAGACAATAGTAATGCTGTCATCACTGTTATCTGTGTCTTCGCCTTCATCACGTCTTCGGCCCTGGCTGTGGGAGTCTACAAGAGCTACCATCTGAAATGCATCAAGTCCAGAAACTAAACAGCCACAGACGCTTAACAGAAGAGACGAGTCTGATGGAGCCGATCCACGTGTCGTATACTTTGGCATCAAGTTCATAAATAACATGACCTTTCTGACACATCTTAAAGATTTTTTTTTCCTTTTCAATTTTGACATCATAGTGTAATTCTTTTATGCTTTTTATAAGCAGAAAAATTAAATACTAGCTTCCGTTAAATAAAAGCAAAAGTAAACATGGAAGTGTAGCAGAGGGTCTAAATACCTTTAGATGAAATGATTTGTTAACATTTTATTTTTGCGCTTTTACATTTGAAACTATTCTGTAGAAAAACTTCAACCCAGTGGATGACATCAAAGGTTCTTTTACAGCAAACTTGATACTTGTTACATGTTGTTACATTTATACGGTGATTTCCTGTTTGTAATAAAACTTGTGTAACAAATTCTTATAATATGCAGCGATTCTATCAGTAAATAACACTGAAATGATGTCAGTGAGTTCAGTTTTCAGGAGGAGCCTAATTTATCTGCACAGATGACAAGTTGAGCTGAATTGAACAAATATGAGGAACGAAAGTTTTCTGAAGTACAAACCAATGAAAGTTACAACTTACCTTTAAGCTGGAACACTGTGGTATCCTTACAAGGGAAATATTAAAGTTCTTACTTTGAAATGAAGTAAAAAGGACCAGTTTTACCATCCAGGCCCCTAAAACCCAAAATTAAAACCAGGGTCTCAAACTTACATGAGCTGCGGGCCACTGCTGACACTGCAGTCTCATTGGACGGTCGCTTTAGTGTTCAAGTAGTACAAAAAACAAGAAAACACAGAAATATTTCAGAAAATGTTGTTTTAACATTTCAAATATCTCTTTAAGAACTTATTTATGGGCCACAAGTAGGAGTGACGTGGACCACAAGTGGCCCCCGGGCCGCATGTTTGGCCCCCGGGCTGCATGTTTGGCCCCCGGGCCGCATATTTGGCCCCGGGCCGCATGTTTGGCCCCGGGCCGCATGTTTGAGCCCTGTGACCTGTAGCTCTGCTTGTGTTTTTGCAGAGAAAGCACGTTTGTCACAATCGAAACCTTCTCCAAGAAAAACAAGACAAAAGGAAGAAAAATGACATTTGAAAGCTTTATTACATCGAGTTTGCGTACAAGGCGTGTCATGGGTCTGTTTCTGACATGAAATGTTCACTGAGAAAACTAAACTAACAAAATAATAAATATCAATTACCAGTACTTTGCATTGTGGCCGACACCTGGACTCTTCAATACTATGCTGAGGAGGACACGTGGAAGATAAACAGGGCAAAGCTAAAAGAGGCACAGTGGAGCGCTGCGACGCATCAAGACAACACGAGCGCCGTGATGGTTAAAGTGACCGAGCGCTGTGTGAGGACCAACAGAAGATTTTAACAAAGTATTAACATTTGTTCCGCATCTGCGGCGCTCTGCTGCTGTTAGAAATGCACTTTAACATAAATGATCAGGTGCCTTAGTTAGATATGCTTCAAAGAAAAAGCATAAAAGGCCCTAAAACACTGAGCGTAGGAATTCTGTATAGCATCAAAGCAAAATATTTAATAAAAATAGTGCCACAGCTCCTTTAAAAACTCTAAAATACTGCAATGTTTTGGTGCTACACAGACGAGATTAACAGGACTGCAGGTGAAGATGATGAAAATTTAAGAGAGCAGAAACACTTTTATCGTCATGGGAACGTAAAACAACGAAGGACCAAAATCTAGGACGAGGTGAACGGCAGCAAACACAAACTGCAAACACAAACTGCAAACACTGCGTTTGCAAGTATCAGACAAATAACTGCAACATTTTCTGTGAACACAAAAGAACCTGCGCTGCCTCGGACCTGGAAGCTCGCACTTTGTATGTTGACAAAAACAAACATTAGAAACAGAGGACGTGTGAGTTTACAGGGTCTGACGCTAACGTGTAAGACACTGAAATAAAGCAGCGTCGAACCTCGTTTACAGGCTACACCTTCGCTGTATCGTCGCTGTCGTTACGTAAACCACTTCCTGTTTCTATTTAAGTCGTCTGCCTCTAAAGGCACAAACGGATCATTTTAATGGTTTCCTTTGTTATTCTTTGGTGGTGTTTATTTCCAGCTACAGTACAACTAAATGTTTCCCCCTCAGTACAAATCTTTGGTAAAGCATAGAACTCATAAAGATGCTCTCCCACATATAAACCGTCTCCTCTCCTCCGATTGGCTGGTACCTGTGCTGTACTTTTAGCATGGATCAGTAACTTCTCCCTTGTTACATAAAAGACACACGCACTGCAACTTACACAGCAGCATTAACGCAGTTTTGTGTAGCTAATCTACTTTTCTGATGGCTCGGACACAAACGAAACTCTGCAGCTGCAGTTCATCTCTCGTTAGTTCAGTCATGGAGGGAACCGTGTTGGTATCGTGAGCACGTGAACGTCACATGTAACACTGCTGCTGTTACAGTTTCTTTGCCTGCTCGGCTCTCAGAAAAGACACACTGTGATATTTTCAAAGACAATACATGGGCGTCACAATGACTTACATTCAAAGTGTTGTGGAGACATTTGCTCGTGTCCCCTCAGCACAGCTGTAGTCTACCCTCTAAACGATCCTTCCTTTTCTAATACATTCATTAGACATGATCACCCTGCCAGCCTTCCAGTACCAGGGTAAAAAGTGCAACACAACAACACTTCAACCGCAATTAGACTCTGCAGAGTTGCTGTCAATGAGCGAACGTCTCTTCGCTCCATTTTTAGACACTAATTTTATTTTTTGTGCCATCTGAGGCGACTGTAGGTCATCGAGAGCTTTCCAGGTCAAATTTAATGATATTTTGCACTGATCGACTGTTGACTGAACATTGCGCCCATCTCTTTCCAGTACCTCTGCTTTAGCAGTACGTATACTGAGAAACAGTCTGACATGAGCAGAATGACGTGTTTGAAAGCCGTAGCGACACATCGGTGAGATACAATACACATTAAAGTCTAGGAAAGGAGCTGCACTGGTAATATAATATATTCTTTACTCGAGGGGAGAAAAGGTTACAGACTGAACGAGCACTCTGAAAATTAAAAAAACGTGTTACTATTGATGACAAGAAACTGGAGCAAGTTTTCTATTAATGAAGACGGACGAGTCCAGCTTGAAAAGCAAGAAGGTCGTGGACAGGAGTTCTGCAAGGCATGGTGTGCGTAACTCTGGGCTTAGCTGCCCTGCGTCATGCTCTGCATGTGTTTGGCAATGTCATACACGTAGGTGATGTCCGGCCTCTTCTCCGGGTCCGGGTTGATGCACATATCTACCAATTTCCTCAGCTGGTGGCGCGGACGGGACAAAAAGAAGAGAAACATTGTCAGAGATGCAGTGAAACAAGATCACACAGGAATTTAGAAGAGCAGCTCTAGACAAATCTAACAGTTGCTAACAGCGCCCTCTAGGTGACCTCTCCCGTCATAGCAACAACAACAGAGCAACAGGTAAGCCGACTGAGGCGCGTGGCTGGGGTAGCGCGTTAATCATTTATTGGTCTGCTGAATCCACTGTTACCTGAGCACACCCCCCATATGCACGCACACGCGCGTGCACACGCACACAGCTGCCACTCCGCTGCCATCCGGAGACAGCGCTTCCACTTGAAGCGGCGCGCGGTGGCTGATTGGAGCAGATAGACAGGCTCGCAGGCGGAACAGCCACCGCCATCATTAAAAAAAAAAAAAAGATAATAAAAGGCGAGGAAAGAAAGGGGGGAAAAAACATCTACATGAGGTCGCTATGGTAACCGTCTGCCGACTTCCCGGCCGCTGTTGCGCGGCGCGCGGGCTCGGGCGAGTTTTGTGTATCGGCGCGCGAGTGTGCGTGTGAGCGAGAAAGTGAGGCAAAGATGCAAATTCAGACAGTCTGAGAATTAGTCGCACAGAATGGAGATGGGGAGGGCGCCGAGATGCAGATATGTAAAATATTCATGTGCGTGTGGGGGGTGGCGGAGCTGGCGAAGGGAGGCGTGTGTGTGGTGGGGGGAGCATAGATGGAGATGGTTAAATGACACAACAAAGATGAGCAGCTGACAGTTTGCTGCCGATCCTTCAGGAGCATTGTTTACATCCAGACAGGCGCTGCAGGCACCCCCCTCATCTCCATCTCTCCATCGCCCTGTCTCTCGCTCCATCATTCCCTCTCTCCTGCGCTTTGTCTTCCTTTCTCCTGGATGGGGGTGACATGTGGGGCAACGCAGAGGCTCAGCGTGGCGCTCGTGTGTGTGGAAAGAGCTCATGTAACAAATATACACTTGCAAGAACTAAAACACTCACACACACACAGAGCAACCACAGAGGCTTAAAACACCTCACAATTAGCCTTTATCAGGCTAATGAGGTAAATACCAGAGTAAAACAAAAGCCTCTCTCTGCAGGGTAAACGAGCTCACTGGAGACACGAACAGCCATTTAAAATGAGCCACTGCAGACACACTGGCTACAGATCGGAGGCACTAAAGGTAAAAACCACATCGGCGTGCTTTAAAGTCATACCTGACCATGATGGTTCATACTAGGTTTATTAAACATATCTGAACTGGAAACTCAAACCTAAACCACAAGGTTAGCTGTGGGGTGATGTCAGTTTGCAGTAGTTTCAATAGCACCAGGCCTCAAACATGATAAAGCGCGACGGCATTCTTGACTTTAATCAGATATGAGGCAACTTTTTTTTAAACAGTGCAAATCTAATAAATGTGCCAATAACCGAAAAAGGTTCCAATACCTGCACGTGCACGTGCGCCTGTGACTCAGCGTATGAGCATTTCACTACACGCATTTAAAAGAAACAGACGGGGAAACGCCACCCACACAAAGAGGGCACGCAAACAGAAAAACACGCAGATTCATGCACATGTCAGCGCTAATCAGCAATAAGGTGATCTTTAACCGCAGCCCGGCTGCATTACGTTTCTGCGCACGGATCAGTCTTCGCAGAATTACGGCAGACGATTTAACGTTGACTAAAGGAAACGTGACACTCTGGCGCATTTAGTTTCACCCCACCGTCGAGCGCGGCCAGATGCTTTTGATACGCGCGGCTAAAATCGTATCCAGCCTCCTGATCACAGTCCTGTGCTGCAGCTCAGGCAGACGGGTGGATTTCACCGACATTAAAATATAATTTAAGTGTTCGATATAAGTAAAAGGAAAGTGGCATCAAGAGAAAGAGACAGGGATTTGTATTAAAGACTATGGCGGCTGCTTTACAAACACTGAACAAGTCTATATTTACTCTGTTCCTGAGAAGTAAAAGGCAGCTGATACGAGTACTTACCTCCTCTGAATAGTGATCTGAGGGAAGAGGGGGGTAGTCACACTGTTCTATCTTCTTACAAAGTGAGTAGAGGTTCATCTTATCCCCATAGAACGGACTCTGTAAGGCTGCCATCTGAAGCACAGACATAAGAAGACGTGGAGAGAGACAGAAAGTGGGAAAAAGACAAGAGCAGTCAGTGAGTGAAGTTAAAACGGGAAGTAAAACACCCAATCAAGCTCTCAACAGGTGGCAGGCAGACGGCTCTGCACCCTGTGCTAACAGTAGAGTCTGCAGCTCTGCTACTGACGTGCATCCTATTGATTATTATGGGGATTGGGTGCAGGAAGACAACAAGTCAATATGTAGAGCTTTGTGTACATATCAGCACATCCCGGTCTAAACTTCAGCCGAACCAAACAAAACAAATCCACTGGAAGCTTCTCGCTGCAGGCTGGTGGACTTTCCTGCGATGCTGACGATGCGCTGCCAGACGAGTACGTATATTTTCTAGAAAACAAACGCAAGCGAGCAGAGCAGAGGCAGGGCAAATGGGAACGAGCAGGAAGAAGGGAAAGCGCATGGAAACCTTTGTTTGTGAGTGGAAGGAGGTGAAGGATCCTCGCTGCCTTTCTAAGAATAATGAAAGACGCACGCCATCTTTCCCAGACTCGGTGACTGACTCACTTCCTCTTGTAGAAAGGTGAAGCCTGCAGCACACTTGCATAACAAGCAGCCGCCAAATGCTTACTGTTTTTCTGATTCAGTGCTTTCAAAAACAAGCAGCGTGTAAGTGCTCGGTCATTATCACTGCTGTGTGTGAGAAAGTGCTCAGAGCTTCCTTTTTATTCACGCACCAAAAACACATTAAATAGGAAATTGTGAGTTGCAGTAAGAGTACAATCAAAGTCGAATCACTCCTGGGTGATCTCGTGATCTGTACAGTCTATTTGTGAGAAACACTTCTCTCTTCGATTTGTTTGCTGTCTGCAGGCTGTCGATCATGTGTCTGTAACAAAACTAGTGACCGGTACGTGAGCTTGTTCCAAACTTCAGAAAAGCAGCTGGAAAGAAGAGCGGGCCAATCAGTGGGAAGATTACACCTTACTATTTGAAGCGTTGCTCAGGTGTCCCTCGGAGAAAGTACAGTGTGCGTTTGACAATCTGCTAATTGGTAGCGTGAAAACAGATGAGAACAAAGTCTCCATACGAGAATCCAAATGCAAAGCTTCCACACAGAGTACAGCAGGTTAGTGAGAATACACCACCTTCAGCAAAATGAAGCTGCAGAGGAAAATATGTCTGTGTGAATCGGACCGACAAAGAAAAAGGAGGAAGTGTTTGAGGTAAAAGAATAAAGAGGCCATCTAGTGTCACACACAAACTCATTGGATTATTTCAGCTTCCTCACAGACTATTTTTCTGTCTTCATCAGCTAACGCGTACAGTCGAGCGCTGCAGAGACAAGAAAACAGTGGTGCCTAGTGTGCTGGTGTTTCTAATGCACCAGTAAAAAGTAGCTGGCTTAATCATGGCTGCCTTCAATGAAACGTTTCAAATTTAGAGCAAAGACAAAAGACGTTTCCCATCAGCCAGATCTCGGCTGTCCGAGCCCGCGGAGGGAAATCAAGACGACGGCAGCAGCGTTTACAATCGTGTTAATTATTACATGAATACTGTTCATTAGGGCTGGGCCATATCATCCCGTTCACGGTAATACCGGTGTAATGTTGGGCAACGATAGGAAAATGACATATCGCGATAGAATATGGGTAAAACGCGCATGCGCAGTGCCTTTGTTTACATACGCACATGGCGGCGACGCAGAATGAGAAGAGCGAAAGTGGATCGTTGAATGAAACCATGAACCAGAACTGGTTTGTAAAAACGCTGCAGCTTCACTGGTGTGGAACTGGTTTAGCTTTCGTCCGTCAGATACACAACAAAGCACTATTTTTGGTAGCGCATGCTAGCGGGCCGTCGTTATTACCGTGTTGTTTGGAAAATACGGCGCACTTAAAATCAATCCTTTGATTTTTCTGAAAGTCGACAGAGCCCCTTATAATCCCGTGTGCCTTATGTATGAACTCTGGTTGTGTTTACTGACCTCGAAACGATTTTATGTGCACGGCGCTCGAAAATCTGTCAAATGTTTCAGTACGACTTTGCTAAGCTACGAAGCCGCACCGCTTGATGGATTGTTGGAGCATTACGGCTATCGTAGGCGGAGCCTCGCGGAGTGATACGTACTGTGCTTCAACATAATGTTACCGTATTGTGTGTGTATAACCTCTTTTTAAGTTGGATATTATACATGGTTATGCTGAGGATGTGTCGGCCAGTTTCCACTGGAAATGCCTTTTGGTTAAACTGTCAGCGAGGAATTTGCACTGTTACATTTTTATATAACTTTAATGCACATAAAAAACAGCTGCTTGTTTAAGTGAAAATACATTGATGGTTTTTGCACTAATAAAGTTGTGGAGTTGTAAAGTATTTTGTCTAGTGTCAATTATATCGTCAGTTATATCTTATCGCAAATTTTCAAATGTATATCATGATAAATATTTTTGGTCGCCCTGCTCTGCTGTTCATGCTCACAAAACACATCCAGTGAAAGAGAATCTCCCTCTGTTGTCTGTGAACACCTCTCTGCCTCGACTGCAAGACCAGCAGCTGACAGCTGAATATTCATGCACGTCATCAATGATGCACTTCTGTTATTAACAAAGTCACAATTTAAAACCTGATCCTGTCGTTACCAAGGCGAGCAGAAGCAGCCGTGTGCACACTCACAGGACGACTGAAGGATGCTAAACAGCTGATTAAAACAAGTAATACTGGTGAACGTTTGCACAAAAGCACCTTCCCACATAGATGGTGCTCCACATTTAACACACACACACACACACACACACACACACCGTACTACATTTAAAAAGCCATTAACACAGGCGGCAACAAGTTAAGGTATTATTATTCCAACATGTTAATTACTCAGTGTGCTATAGCTATGGACCCTTATTTAACATGCATTTCCATAGACAACAGCTCACTACCTGCAATTAAATGACCATCTAATTAGTCATTCATTGCAGCTTGTAAATAAATCATCTGCCCAACAAGGCTGCTGAACCTATGAGTCATTTGCCACCGAGGTCAGTGGACATCTTGCCCTTTCATTTCAGAATCCAATCACTTTTGAATAACCACAGTCGATACCTGAAAATGCCAAAGCTCGCAGTGTTAGGCGCTCTGCTCACTCCCATGTTAAAAAAACAACAACAAGACAAAAACGGAGAAGAAAATACAAAAAAAGACTTTTTGTTGACAAAGATCATCATCATTACTCGATTCATTTCTACATGTAAAAATACACATTTCTATCCATGTTCAGGTTTCATATTTTGAGGTATCCATGTAAGAATTAGCGGTTTCCAAAAATCCAGATTCCCCAATTAGCGAGTGAGACTGAGGGAGAGAAAGGGAGAAAAAAGGAAAGCTGCACTCCACACAGCAGCGTGTGAAGGGTTAAACAAGACCCCGTCGTATTTTCATGCATCTTCTGCTTTTGACAGATGAAAAATGTCAACTGTCCTGTTTGTATTTGGGAGTTTTTGCACTATTCATCTGCTTCATTAGTGCCTGCTGCTCCTAGCCCCTGACAGCTGCCGGCCCCCTGCTCACACACACACACACACACCATAAAGATGCATACCCACACACACACACACACAAACACACTCCTTTTTTCAGACTGTGTCGTCGCAACGGTTTAGATGATTGACTCACTCTCTGACCCCTGAGCCCCCGGTGTGTGTGCGCGATTGTGTGTGTATGTGTGTATGCTTCATTGATATTCGAGAGACATACAATGCACACGCATGCCTGCTGTCTGTCTGAGGGCTGTGAGCTGCTGGTGGCAGAACACACGCGCACGTAGGTTTGTGCTTCTATATTTGTGAGGACCATCGCTGACACGATGCACTTCCCAGCCCCTCGTCCTGAAATGTAACATCACAGCTTCACAGGGAAACCCCAATGCAAACCACCACCTTAACACCACCTTAGCTGATTTATCAGAATCAGAATCAGAAACTTTATTGTCATTGTCACGAGAACAACGAAATGAAGAATGGTCCCCGATCATTGCATCATCCCTAGCAATATCAAAATATAAATAAAACAATAAAATTCAATAAATAAAA